GAGAGCTGCCCGGCAGAAGGGGAGCTGGGGCTGTTGTTAGACAACCAGCTGAACGTGAGGCAGCAGTGCCCAGGCGGCCAGTGGCATCCTGGCCTGCATCAGGCCTTGTGTCAGCAGGAGCACTGTGTTCAGCTTTGGGCTCCTCACTAGAAGGACAGTGAGGCACTCGAGCATGTCCAGAGAAGGGCAACAAAGCTGGTGAAGGGCCTAGAGTACGAGTCCTGTGAGGAGCGGCTGAGGGAGCCGAAGTCATTTAGCTGGGAGAAAAGGAGGGTGAGGGAAAACCTTACCACTCTTGTCGCAGGTTAGGGACCTGAAAGGAGGTCGTAGTGAGGTGGGGATCAATCTGTTCAACCAAGTAACAAGTGACAGGATAAGAAGAAATGGCCTCAAGTTGTGCCAGGGGAAGGGTGAGCTTTGTAAAGTAGGGTTCATGGTTGGACTCAATGATCCTGAGGGTCTTTTCCAACCTGAATGATTCTACGATTCTATATGAGGAAGAATTTATTCGCTGAAAGGACATTGGAATGGGTTGCCCAGGGCAGTGGTGGAGTCCCCTTCCCTGGAGGTATTCAAGAGTCAAGTGGACACAGTGCACAGGGATAGGGGTTAGCTGAGAACTTGTCAGTGTTAGGTTAATGGTTGGACTCAATGATCTTAAAGGTCTTTTGCAATCTAGGCAATTCTGTGATTCCGCAATCCTGTTTGGGCAGCCTGGTCACCCTCACTGCCTGTTGCTGCTGACACAGCAGTGCTGAAGAGGGGGACAGGGGAAGGCTGGAGAATATTTTGGGGAGGCACTGGTGGGGTTTGTGAGGAAAGGGTGCTCATGGCAGGAGCTTGAAGCCACGGGTGGGGATGGCTTTGGGATCGTGCTCAAATCGTCACACACTGGAGGGCCCCTGAGCGGGGTTAGCTGACCGCAGTGGCACTGATTGGCATGGTCACCCCACAGTGGGACTTGACAGATGCTGGGTTTTGAGGCTTAAGTGTTGACAGTGGTTAGTGCACAATGACCTGGGCCCACAGCTTAGTCCTTTGAAGCTGTGTCCAGCATCCTTTCTTCTAGTCAGGGGAACACAGGGGTCCAGGGAGGTAGGGTGGATCTGTGTGTGTGGTTCTTTCATCCCTTCTTGAAGATTTTGAGGGATGGAGCATTTATCATGTAGGAGTAATTCTAAAGAAAACAGGGAAAGCATCCCTACCATAAATTCTCTTTCAGCTTGGGCTTAAAACTTCACACTTCAGGCCACTCAGCACTGCTACCAGCTGACAGTGTAGAGTTCTCAGATGACAGGTTTTACACTGCTGCCACACCAGTGTGGCACCAGGATCCAATTACTTCACTCTTAGATGTTGATCTCTTTTGTCCTCCTGAACCCAGCTCTGTGAACTCCTACTGGGGATCTTTCCATAGGCTGTGAGCTTTGCTTCCTCATCAGCCCAGTAACTGTGTCTTGTCCTTTACTAGGTAGCTAAATCTATTTTTTAAGCTTTAATTGGTATTTCCTGTTGGTTACCTATAGAGAGCACAAAGGACACTTTGTAGAAGAAAATCTGTAAGACAGTAAAACAGATATGTATACACAAAATAGCATATTTTGGCCTTAGTAACTCTCCTAAATTCAGCCAAGTAGTGTTTCATGATACAAGATTTTACAGATTAAAAAAAAAAAAAGAGAGAGAGAGAAATGTGAATAATACACAGTGTAAACAGCACTGAAGAGCATGGTCAGCCTGCAAATCACAACTGTAGTTGTGGAAAATTTTGTGTATGGGAATCAGTTGATCTTCTGTGTACATGGATGGAAGTGTTTGCAATACCAGAGCCTCAAGGGGATGCTACAGGAGGTAACAGCAGAGTAGGAAGGTCAGGATTTAAAAAGGGAAAAGGTGGTGTCCAGTTCCATGCTTTTAACAGCTAGGACAGACATATCAGATAAGGGATATATTTAAGTCTTACTGTTGACAGGCTGATTGTACCTGTAAAATACATAGGGCAGGTTAAATTTAATTTAAACTTTAATTTCATAGGTAAGCAAAATTGAGCAGTGAAATAATTCACTGAGAAAACACTAAAGCATTCTTCAGGAATTGACTTTGGGAATGTAGTATGCTTCAGCCATTGGAAAGAACTTTCCATTGAGTGGTATTTTAAAAATCCTTGAAGAATTGCCTAATTGGAAAAAGATACTATTTATTTTAATTTTGTATGGCTTTGGTAATAGATACCTTTATTATTATTGTAGCATGGCCAGTTCTAATGTCATTTCTTCACAGTTTATTCCAGTATTTTGATAAAGAGTGCAAAGATCTTTCTTGGAAGATGCATCGTGAAATACAGAAAATGAGGGAAATTGCCCTTGTTTACCTTGACAGAAGTGGTGGCCTCCAGAAATTCGTGCAGGATTGCAAAAAATATAACGGTATCACTCATTCAATTGATACTCTGTTGAATTGATACATAATGTTGCACAAATCTCTATTATTTTTATTTAAGGTGCTTTTTGCTCCTGCAGACTCAAAACAAAGTTATGCTGTTTATCGTTTCGTTATTTCAATAAATCCTTCTGATATTACTGAATTAGATGCAACTCTTGGGAACTGCATTCTTCATAATCCCATACAAGCGGCACAGATTTTTCAGTCAGTAAGTATTTATAGACAAGAGTAGAAAAAAGTACGTGTTCCATATTTTAACTGGATTTTCCTTTCTAAAATGAAGTTATTTTTCAATCACAGGTATGTTTCATAGCGATTAAAACATTATCATTAATTGATCAGTTGCAGACAGAGGCCCAGGTGAGTCTGCATTGTTTTCCTCCATTTACATCTTAAATCTTTAAAGTATGTTGAAGTATTAACAAATACTGGTTTTGTATTAGCTTCAGTTTTCATTTTTTGTTTAGTTGTAGTATTGCTTTTAATTAAAAATAGCTTGAAGTCTCACCCAACCATACTGCAATAATTTTGAGGTAATTAATACAAAACCTAATTACTCTTACACTTCATGCACTTTTGATTTTATTCTAATAGCTACATACCACATTGTGTGTTTGCCCACGTAAGGAAAGCAGTTTTAAATAAATATTTTTACATTATTAATGTAATTGTGTCTCTTGTTAGATAAGTATACTACTGAAACCAACACATCTGCCACCTTTACCAAGTTATGTTCTGAGTCTTTCTGCGTTTCCCTTTAATTACACATCTCGAAGATTTTATATGTCTGAAGGAATAGTGATTGCAATGGGAACTGTAACAAAATACACACAAGGAGCAAGATTTCTTTGTACTGAGGAAACCTGTCCATTTTCTGAAGGTAGTTAAAAAAATAACCAGTACTATTTCAAAAGGGTCTTAATAATATTTATAAGCTGAAAAAGGCATTTTCCTATGCAGTCCTATTATGCAGGCACTTTTGTAATGATTTTCTTAATTGAAAGCAGTGGATCTTGCCAGGGGTTGCTCAGCATAAATGCTTTGAGAGCACAGCTGTGCCAGCAATCCATTTGCCTAATGCTGAAGATACTTTATAGGAGAAAAGGTTGTCACTGATACAATTTAAGAAAAGATCTGAAAGAAAAAGAAAAAAAACTTAAACTGGTAGAATGGGGGTTTTTTTATCCTTCCTGGAAACTGTTTCTGTTTATAGAACAGTGCCATGGAACAGTATGCTGAAAGGACTGGCAAAAGCTCGTAGCACAGCCCAAGTTTGCTTTAATGAGTAGCTGACTTCTGTGGAATTACTACTTTGAGTAGTACGCTCAGCTGCGTGTACCATTGCAGGATGAGGCCTTGCGTACTATTAAGGCCGTTTAGTTTGCTTCTGGGCCCTAAAATTACAGGAGAAGTGAAATCTCGAAGTTAGGAGGCTGCAGAGTAAATCCCAATGATGTCCTTAGGAGCCATATCCACATCCCGTGGCGTTTCCACGCCAAGCAGGCTGCTCAGAGGCCCAACCTCTCTGCCTGGGACTGTGCGAAAGGGAATTCTGCCACCTTGTGGTCCACCTCTAGCGAATTACACAGGTCATTTCAGTAGAAGCACAGCATATGAAGGTATGCTCATCTGAAGAAACACATGGTAAATTCGGAATTTCACTGTCCTGCATTTCAATCACTTTTATTCTCGATAGGAAATTTAAAATGAAAGCCATATCCTCATTTTAAATGTCTCGTAAATAATATATTTTATTTATTTTCTTTTAGGGTTTAGGTACATTAGGGTGCATCTGCCTGGAGCTACAGAATCTGCCACAGTGAGGAGTGATTTTGTGTGTAGCTTGTGTTCTTCACCACTGCAGGAAAACATGAAATTTCGAGTACTTGGTGGTAGGATCTCCGTAGCTTTATTTTCAAATCTACTACTTTCCTACTTCTGTTACACAATAAGTAAATAAAATGGTTAAGTGGAAAAAGTCCCAAGATGCTCCAGTCATTTTAAAAAAAAAAAGCTGTACTGCTTTCAAGAGAACTAACCATTTCTTTGCCTTTGTTTTGAAAGATAAACAAATAGTTGAAATGATTGATGCAAAAGTTCTTGATGCTTTGAAAGGATGTTGCAATGATAAATCACACTTTAGGATTCAGACCTTTACAGTTTTCTTGAGAGGTAAGCTGAGTTTTGTTAGGAATGGTCTGGAATTGAACTGTAACAATCCTTAGCATTTTCCTTAGAGGTCCGTTTCTCTGGATAAAATAGCGAAAGTCATAATTTATATTCCAGTTCTTTGACAAAGTTGAGGGGGGATAATACATAAAATTAGCTAGACACAGGTGACTGCAGAGTGCACAGGGCAAAAGTGTTTTTTTAAAAAATAAAATCCCTGTGCCAGCTCTGCAGTATTACATTATAACTAGCTTGTTTTTTTCCTCCTTTCTACTTCCTTTGGTCATACTGTTTTGTACTAACTTCAGGCACTTTTAACATCCTTCCTCATTCTAGCTGTTTCCGCAGTCCATCAGCATTTTTGGCTTCTACTACCACTACCTTCCACTGTAAACATTAAATAATTTCTGAGATGACTATCTAACTAAAATCACAACTCATCAACATACTTCCATTCTCTTCAAAACAAGAAAAAACCACCACACCATTCCAAAAGTCCATGCAATTATATGGTTCATTCACTGAAAACTAAATAGAAAAAAAATTATAAATAATATATTTATAAAACAATTTGTGAGTGAGACACTGATTTATGCATCCAATAAATTTTCACTGGCTTTGGTGATCACTGAGGCTAGAGATAGGGTCTCACAGCTGAGATGCATATCTGGTTGGAACTAACCTTTACTTCAAAAAATCAAAGGTGATTTTTTTTTTTAAAGATGCACAGAAATACCAAGGTTCCCAAAGCTCTTTGTGTGTCCTTTTGAAATTTGTGTAGTTTGAATCTCCTTTTTGGTGTGTTTTTCTCTCTGACATTTTATAGGACAGGAACTGATAATGGTGTCACCACAAGTTTCAGAGTAGGAAGGCATATGTGCAAACACCTTTTCTTTTCAGTGCAGACCTAACTGCATTATCCATCTTATTTATCAGGAATCTCCATTTCCTCACCCGGTGTGCCTTTCTTATCTGTTGCACTAATTAATCAGAACTGTATGCTTCATTTTATGTAGTCCATTATGGTGAACCTGGCATCCAACTGTTGTTTTCTGCAGTGAAATCATTCATAAAATCAAACAGTTCAGAATGTGAAGAAAAGTTTTCTGACCATGTCTTTACAACTGTTTTTATGACCTAACATAGGTTCCTGTGCAGGAAGCTAACTGCACCTTCCTCTCACCACCACCACCTTTTTTTTTTTTCTTTTAAATTTCTAGATGAACTGGCCAATAAAATGAAAATAGGAGACCACTACAAGATTATAGGAATTCCAGCTTGTGTGCAAAACGGCTTACAAGCTACAGCGTGTATAGAAGTCAATAGTGTGCAACTCTGTAAACCAAATGGTAAGAAAGCTCCACTGAAAACTGACTAAAAAAAAATTTGGAAAAAAATCTAGAACAAAACCTTTGAGTTTTCTATTGTTTAGAGGTCTAGATTACAAAACCACTCTGGGACTTTCCTCTTGCAGTCCAAAATGTATGCTTGCTGTTATCTGACAATATCTTCTTTTGCTCAGTTTCCATAGGAAACTACACAATTGTTTACGCATTTCAGCTTCTCTTTCCAACTCCTCCTATCCACTGAAATCATACTCTAAATGAACCTGATATTTCAGTTGGTTATTCTTTTCTCATGCCATCAGTTTGAGCAGATCATGTCTGCTACCTTTTTAAAAGCAGAATTAATAGTGTCATTCATGCTGAATTTGTTCTTAATATGTAAACATGCTCGTTCTTTGTAAGTTTTGACTAGAACAGTGATTTAATCTAATAGATCTGCAGCTCTCTTAGGAAGTTTTTGTTAACCATGTGCTTTGTTTTCATTAGGCCCTTCTTTTGTCAGTAAAAATTTTAAGTATCTGCTCTCACTGACTTCAAGCTCCTGCTGGAGGTTTACTGCCATCCTTGTCAATATCTTTGCTTCTGAAGTTGTTCCACCAGGCACTTACAATACTCTTAAACTTGCAATATTGCTGAGTCTAGTACAGACAGGTGAAAAAGAAAATGCAGATTATCTGGATCTCTTGATTGTGACAAGCGACACGCTAGTAATTGACAGGTAAAGAGATTCCTATTTTTCACGTAAGTTGGAATTAAAACCATGAGTATTCTTAAAGATAACAGGATCGGTCTAACATGAAAAGCTGAGATTATATTTTAAAAGAATATACAGTGCTCCGACTTAGTAAAAATACCAAATATTTATCCCTGGGACCTTTTTATATATTTTGACTAATAAATCTGGATCAGAACTTCACCAGTACTAAAGCCTCTTAACATTCTCGTGATGATCTCAGTTAGATTTTACCACTGCATTGTTTAGCAGAGCTTAGACAAAACATTCTTCTAAAATCAAAACTGAAGACTGTCCCAGAAGCTTGGAATGATAAAAGCAAAAGGCTCTAGCTTCTCAAATCTCTACATTAATTTAAACAAAATAACTTTCTTCTTTGTCAACTCAAAACAGGGCTTTTTTTGTTGGTTATAAGTGAGTCTTAATATATGTAAATACCATTATAAAGTACTAAGTATAGTAGTAAGTTTTGTAAAACTGAACAGTAACAATTGATGACTGACAGAATTATTTGATCCTCTAGGCTTCTTAATTACAGCATATGTCTTCTGCCTCGTGGCGTACGACACCCACCCACCAACGAAATTTTTCCTTCTGTGTCCAAAGATAAACATGGATCTGGAAGTGCTAGTATCCAAGCTTGCAGTGCTGTGCTGGCTAAGGGTGGCATCTGCTACATAGGAGACTTATCTTCATATAAGAAGGATAAACTTGAACTTCTACAGTCTGGTAAGCTCACACCTACTAACAAATGAGGGAATGGAACAAAACAAACATGAAAATTCATGGCTATGTTTGCTCCCCAGCTTAAGGACATCAAATGGTGTGGAAATCTGTAAGCTATTTTTAATGAGTCACTTAAGAAACAAGGTCAAGAAAACCCAAGGTCCTGTCCTATAAGTTTCTATTTGCCATGGCTATAGAGCTTCCTGGATCGTGACTGGTTTCAGATAATGCATGTGGGACTAGAATTCAAAGTTAAACTAGGGTGATGACATAACTATCTATTTTTGTCCCATCCTAGTGCTAGAGAGCAGAACAACAACAGTATTCATTCCTGGGAAGAAGTACGGAGAAGAAGCTGACCAACACGTTACTATTCCAGTTCAGACCAATTTTTGGTCTTTTGTAGATGTGGATTCCTCCTCAAAGAAACATACACAAAAGGATAACTTTGTAATTGGACAGATGGTAAAGCACATGCTTTGTTATGACAGTAACTGCACCATACCAGTCATTTGTGTTTATGGTTATTTCAACTTATAAAATAATGAAAAGAATCAAATTTGTTAGTATTTCCCAAAACATAACAACTTAAGTGATTGTAACTCGGCTATCTTCTAAAATGAGCTAGCTTTCCCAAAAGTAGGTATCAGTTCTTTTAGTCAGAGTAGCTTCTGACAACTACTACTGGAACAAAATTTTACTTCATTTATTATAGGTAATTCATTACATAACCTAGCAGGGCTCAGTATATATGGATATTGAACACTTCAGATTGAAACAATACAATATTTCTACAAATCAGAAGGACGAAGTAATTGTTTCCTCTCTCGGGGCGGGGGGTCTTCTCTTTAGGACATGAGTTTGATTCCTCCTAACCTTGTAGATGTTTTTGGCCTTTTGATACACAATGAGTTCCCTTCCTGTCAGCTGTCTGCTCCTCTTGTACATCATGTCTTGAAAAAAGCCATTAATCCTGGAGCCACGCTGTACAAAGTTTCACAGCAGTTCAGAACACAGGATTACGAGGAGGTAACGTACTCCCAAGTCATACTGAAATGTGTTATAGCTGGGCATATCATACTGTGGAAGCAGAAAGTTCTCTCTGCACATTCTGACCAATTATTAAATTGGTTAGAAGTTGGTTTCTCCTCTTTCTCCCCACCCCATATTCCCACTGGCACTAATAGGATCACTGATAAAAAGAGCTTCAGTTCTTTGAAAGGGTCATTCAGTTTAATCTTGTTTCTGAAAAACATACTAGGTTGACATTCACCTGAGAACAGATTTCCAATACCAACTTTTGACCAGAACCATTTACAATCAGTAGTAAAAGTTAATATGCTGTTCTTAATAAACTGTATTCCTAGTATAAATAAGATTATTGTTTTAAGCATCCAAGAAATATCCTTATGCATGGCTGAATAGTGACAGCAGTTTTTATAAAAACTATTGGTGGAATACATTGTCCAAACTCTTGCTATGCCACTAGTATGTTATAAGGCGTGAAAAATGTAAACTCATTCGGTTAAATACTTAAAATTTATACCCTCTCTCTAGTTTATTTTGTTTGCTAAGAATCTTCACGTTGAACTGAGTTCAGAAGCAGAAAGCCTCATTCAGGGCTACTATCTTGCAAGTCGCAGAGTGAGAAGGGATTCTGTTCATGGATCAACATTATCAGCATCTGCACTAAAAACTCTGTACGTCCTACTCTTAGTAAAGGAAACAATTCTGCATTTCAAATACAAGTAGTGCTAACCTGCTCAAGAGCTTGCTAAACAAAAATCTAGACAGACTTAAGTGTTGAAAAATTCAAGCATAAAGAATCTTATTTACCATTTACGAGTACTGTTTATTTTGTATATTGATATTGCAAAAAAAAAAAAAGTTTTAATATATTTGCCATGGAAAAATATGATTTAAGAAACAATTATCATTATTAAACGCATCTAGAAAAACAAAAATGGCACGTGAATTATCCCAACTTTGAGTTATGCAAGCAAATAGACCTATTAACTGCTTTCATAGCCCAAGAAAGTCATGCATATGTCCTTTGTCAGTGACAAGTGTAACTGCACAGTATTTGTGAAAAGTTTACACAGCTGAAGCATGGAAAAAAAAACCTCTCTGGTATTTTGATTCACAGAACTACTTTAAACAGGACAATATATATTGAATTCATGCCTGCCTGCAGTATTTTTCACTTCTGCCACGCTTATATCAATTTCTTAGGATTTCACTGTCTAAGGCTCACACTAAATTAAGTTTAAGAAAAAAAGTACTTGAGGAAGATGCACTGATTGCCATCTTGTTACTTGAATCATCTCTCACCCTAAAACACGGTAATTAATGCAACTTGGTCTTTAGTCTTGGGTACACTGTTTTCATATTTTGTCAATTCTCTTTGAACTGAGCCATCAATTATTGCAACCAATTCACAGAAACTTTTTTTTTGAAGTCCAAAATTTCCAGCATTGAAGACTGGTATCAACAAGTCGAACCAGGGGGAATGGTTGCAAGTTGCAACAGGGCAAGTTTAGGCTGGACATTAGGAAGAAATTCTTCACGGA